CTACCCAAAACTTTCTTAACATTTCAGCAGTCATCAAACACAATATCCAGAACTTATTTAAACATTTCATAACAAAACATTGAACTTTTCAAAAAATTTAAAAACATTAAACTTTCCATAATATATCTTTTAAAAAACAAATGCGCCCAAAGTTCCAAACTATTTTATTTTCTCCTCCTCAGTGTTCATCCAATTGCTTGGAAAAATCTCCACTAGGTCAGTGCTATCAAGGCGGTCCAAGGTTCAAATCCTCAGACCAGATGCATTCTAGTTGAGAAGGTAGTCCGATCTGTGCATCCTCAAACTACCTTCGGTGTTTCACTCTAAGTGGATACCACTGTCTGAGGTTGTCATCTTCGAACCGCTTCTACTTAGCAATCAGAAGGTGGTCCAATTTGTGCACGTCAGACCGCCTTTTGTATTTAACTCTAAGTAGATACTGTCCTCCAAGGTTGTCATACATGAACTACTTTGACTTAGCAGTTTAGGAGGCAGTTTCGATTTGTGCATCCTCAAACTGCCTTCTGTGGTGGACTTCAATACGGTCTAAAAATGTCATCCTCGGACCACCTTCTGTGTTTCACTCTAAGTGGATACAGCGGCTTGAGGTTGTTATCCTCAAACCACTTCGACTTAGCAGTCCAAAAGGCGGTCTGATGTGTGCACTATCGGACCACCTTTTGTGGTTGACTTCACTCTTGTATGAGGATGTCATCATTGAACCGTTGTGTTTAACTCAAAGTGGACACCACGGTCCGAGGGTTTTGGCCCCATCCATCCCTCGATCTACATAAAATAAAACTATGAAATCCATCCATCTCTCAATTTTGCATCAAATATGACAATCAACATAAGCTTTTGGCCCCATCTTATACCCTTGATTTCGTAAACTTGCAATGGTCTGTTTGTTTCCATATATTGAGTTTTATATTTTAAGGAAAACAAGACCCATCAAATGGACAGGCATTTCGTCACAACATATTCACGATATGTTATGTTTTCATCTCTTAGATGAATCAAACACTGTCGAATCTGACAGCCTTCCAGGTACAATAGGTTTCATTTTTATTTTTTATTAAACAAGTGTAAACATGTGAGACTACTATATGTCATAATTAAGAAAACAAAAACAATCAAATTCTTATGTGCATTTTCGAACCACAAGACCACCACAACTTACATGTCTAATTTTAAAAAGACGTAAGACCACTACGACAAATAATTATAACCTATGAAATGCTAAAGGGCCTTTTGAAAGTTACAAATGGATGCCTTCTTAAGAATACAAAACTTTTTCTTTTTGGATAAATCAGTGGGGTTCCTAGCTGTTTTTCATTAATAGATAAAGAAAATAACAAATAATATAATGTTTATGTTACAATTCTTTCATAAATGGGAATGATGGTCTTCGTATCTCTAAAATTGTGCATATGGATACTTAAACAAATGTCTTTCGCCACTCCAATTAAGTAGAACTATATTCTATCATCAACATTTTGGGAGTAACGCTTTCTAATATCGCCGTCAGAACTGTGTATTATGAGAAAACCCCAATATTGGAAACAAATTCGTTCAATAAGTTAAGAACACCTTTCAATTTGGTCAGTTGATGAACTAAATGCTCTCTTACGAGTTTTTGGATTGGTCTATTCAGATTATATTATTCCATATCTATTTTTTGGCACTTAAAAGTTCAATTTTTTTCTCTAGAATTTCCTATTGTACAAATTCTCTCATATCACTCAACCCACATCAGTTTGTCATCTTACAAAAAGAATTTTGAACCCACGGTGCTTAGATTAAGGTTTGCTTGTTTGATTTGATGACCTATATTGCCTTATGATCAAAACTGAACAATGATTTGAATTTTCAGAGGAAGCCAACAGGTCTTCAACTGGTCCAAGCTCTGGGCACTCCTCCAAGTTTCTTAAGCCATCAACAATAGGAGATGAGCCCTTTTCTCCCCTCCCCACAATGAGAAGTGTGTATGCAACTTCTACAGCCAACAAGTTAGCCAATGTGTCCTCCCCCATGCTCACAAACCTTTCCTGATATGTAACCCTTTCAATGCCTGTGTACCTATTGCGAAACTCATTCACGATACGGTCGTCAAGGTGCTTCTCCAGCTCGTCACATGGACTACTCTCTTCTTCCAAGCTGATAGTGGTGTTATATTGATCATCTTCTTCTGGGAAGAACCTTATAAGACTAAAGGCAATGGTGGAAAGCTTAGCAAATCTACTTCCGAATGCGACGGCCTCTCTATCATCAGGGCCTCCAAAGAAGAGCACAGCCACACGGTTCAAAGCACTGGCGGCTGTGTCAAGCCTGGTGCCCCCAAGCCCACGGTCGACAAGGATTCCCACCGAGCATGACACATGCTTGAGCACCCCTTGGTTCACCATACGGTACCCAGCTTTACTTGTGTGCATCTTTCCATCAACCCCAAGAAACTTGTGGAAGGGGAGGATGACAATGGATGCACACAACTCGGCGGCAGTACGGCAGACATCCTCATGCATGTCCCTGTAGTAGGAAATAGTAGTGGTGAGGCGCACCTGGATGCCACCATTATGCACATAGGCATCAATGGTGTTGGCAATCTCCTGTGTATCTCCCAAGGGGACAACGTCGTTCGATCGACGAATGTACATGATGGGGCTGGCAGTTCTCTCATTGTACTCTATTAGGTTCATCATGTAAACAGAGAGGGGGAGGTCACGACATGCCTCCATTATGTTGATGCTGCTGGGCAGGTCTTGCAAGCTGTGAACACATGTGAGCATGCGGAGCTCAGCTTCAGCTTCTTCCCACTCAATTCCTGCATGCTTGAAGCCAGGGCTCTGCTTCCTCACATATTTCAGCACGGCTGCAGAGATAGGGGCAACCGGGACGCTGATTACGAAGATGGCATATACCATGATGCCCGCAGCTCTAGTGTCCAACATCTGAATTTGCAAAACACATTTTGTCATACCATCTTTATCATGTAATGTACCTAAACATCAAGAATTAAAGTACTTAGATTGCTACTAGAGTTGTAAAATGCATTAACCATATCAAAAATCAAAATAATTAAAAAATTGAACATGATCCGAAGAGGGAACCCCATTCATGGTGCAACAGAATCTAGTTCTCATGAGCATTGGGACTACGATCCTTTATATTTATGAATTGATGACCCCAATTTATACAAATCGCAGTCCCAAGGTATTTGGGATCGAGGTCCCATAAGAAGTGGGAAATGTGTCTCTCTCAAAATAGCATCTATATCCCATGAGCATTGGGAGCGAGATTGTTTATATATAGGATCCAACTCCTAGCTAGATGCCCTCTACAGAGTGTGATCCGAAAGTGCCAAAGATTCAAATATGCTTCAATCCGATATTTCCGCTCCCGACCCCGGATCCATTCCCGCTCTAGCTCCTAATAACTATGCCTGATTTAGGCCCACTGACATTCATGATTGGTTCTGATTTAGCATTATAACTAACTACATTGGGGTTGATCTGATGCAGACAGAACCTGTTTACACTTGCAAACTAAGTGGTATCCACTCACTCTAATTGTGCTGTTGCATCTGTTGGAAAAACCTATGACTTTTTTTTTCTATTTTATTTATTACTTTTCTTTAATTTTAGAAGAGAAATGACACTACGAGACCCTCTCACACTCATGTGAGTAGGACATCAAAGGATCACCATTATATTTGGCATAAATCTCTAGAAAAGTTATCACATACGTGTGGGACTTGATCTTTATAGAGATCTGTACCAAATTTGATGGTGATCATTTGGGGTCCTACTCACATGGGTGTGGGAGGGTCTTATAGAATCATTACTCATTTTAAAATTTATTAGATACAATTTCTTATTCTCCTTCCAATATGTAAGCATTTTTTAAACTTTCGTACATATAGCATAAGTGACGCATTTGGAGTAGGACAGAGGATAATAACTACTTTTCTGTCAAGATTGGCTAAATAGATTTTTATTTCAGTATATACGAGTTAGCTCTTTTCAGCACAATGCCACAATGTTAAATTGAGAGAAGACCTCTTTATGAGATATACATAAGTCAGCCAATATCAATACACTCGCCGGGGTCATTGTAAGACCCCTAATCAATTAGATATGACTCTACTAATGTAGGAAAAATTAGCCGGTCCAACTCGGAACCGGCCAAGGTAACCATAATCGGGCATTGGGCTTGGGTTTTCCCCTGTTCTGGGGTTCCACTTTGGGGGGTTGGATCCCACCACAAGGCCAGCCCATATCCGGGTGATTTTAATGGCCAATAGGTCGAGTAAAAACAAGCCTAGCAGTTTTCCTAGGAACCGGTCGATTTATCAAAAACTGGTCAGTATCCACCCAAATTTGTTTATATGAGTCCGCTGACCCCTTAATAATTTATTTTGAAATAGAATATGATTTATATAATTTTATTTGTAAAAATGAATAAATTTTAAAAACTAGAAATAAGATATTTTTGGAGAAAATACTTGAACCATTGATTTTATTTTTTCCTTAGAAGGACTATTACTTATAGGACCCGGTTTTGGTGGCTCCATACCCACATAGTAACAGGTGCAGGCTTGGATGCTCACGTGCGCACGTATACATACAAATATAATTCAAAGGTTGATTTTTAAAAAATTTGAAATTCAAATTCAAAAGTCTCTTTTTTTGTTGTCACCCTCTCCCTCTCCCTCTCCCTCTCCCTCTCCTTCTCCCTTTCCCTTTCTCTCTCTCAAGGGCAACAAGGCCCTTGACCTTCTCTCTCCCTCTCTCTAGAGAGATGGAGAAAAAGTGAGACAAAATGAGAATGATCTAGAGAGAAGGGCAAAAGCCTGTCTCTCTCCTTAACTTCCGCTCGTCTCTCTCTCTAGCTTTTTTCATCTCTTTAAGCTTTTTACACTAAAATAGTGTAGTCTATAGGAACCACACTTATGTTTTACATTATTTGCAATAGTTAATATGAATGACTATTCATTTATGGGCAAGCTTTCTATACTTCCTCTACAACATAAAACTTATATACTTCCCTTTATCCAACTGTCCATTCTGAATAGAGTGTTAAGAATGCCACAATCACAATATCACGTTTCTACGCTATTTTATTTTTAATTTTTTTCTATAAACTATTTTGACACTAAATTTTAGACGTCCAATCCTCTATTAAACTCGCATTAGCGAAAAATATAAAACAAATATTTCAAACAAAATAAAATAACCAAAATACCCCTTAAATATTTAAGGGGTATTTTAGCTATTATATTTTATTGAAAAATTATTTTTAATATTTTTTGTGGTGCCCTCAATGAGAAGATGACACATTCCAAATTTCATATTCATCAAATTTGTATAAAAAAAACTAAAACTAAAATACTTTGAGACGTCGGATCTAGGATCAAACGGTAGTGGCTCTCTTGATCAAAATTGGACGGCTAGATGGTAGGAAAAACATAAATCTTCTGTGTTGTAGAAGAAGTATAAAAACCTTTCCCTTCATTTATTTTTAATGTTTTTCTTCATTTATTTTTAATATTTCTCCCATTTGTCTAAGTTCAAAGTGAGAACATCACATGTTCTTTAGCTATCCTACCTCATAAGTACCCGAGTCACACCTTATCCCTAAAATGAGGGCCTCACTTTTACTCAAATCTCAACTCTCAACCCTATTAGTGGGTCCCAGTGGGCCACCACTTCTTTTTCTCTTCATTTCTTCAATCACTTATGTATTACTTTTTGCATCTTTAATCTATTTACAATGTACGTCATATTTTAAACTGTGTTGTATATGTTTTTAGTCTTTATCTTCGAGTTTATATTAAAAAGTTATTTCAATAGTTATTTTTATTAGTTTTATTTTTCCAAGACAATTGTAGAAAATTTCAAAATATGAATAAAATCTACATTTTTCTGTATTTTTTATTTTTTGACCCATTTTAAACAATTTTTTTTTCCTTGACCGACTTGGACAGGTTAACTGCGCTTCAGAGTAACTCAAAACCGCCCATGGACACTTTCCAAGGTTTGATTTTTCGAACACTGAATTCTACTCAGAACCTGCCCAGTTCTTGAGCCAAGTCAATGGTTTAAAACACTGGTTCAGAGAGATAAATTTGGATGTGAATTTGCTACAGTTATGAATCAAGCAGGATCAGAAAGATATTATCAGGACACCTACCTAAAAATCATTTTCCAGAGGCCATAATGAATAAGTTGGACAGACTTACATGGAATCCATTTGCTCTGGAGAGATAGAGCAAGATGATATCTGCATTTCCCCTTACATTCAAAAGATACCCCATTAAGAGGCCCTCCTGTAGGGGCATCCTGTAAAACCTTGCGGCTGCCACCGCACCCGCGAGCTTCCCGACGACAGCAATCAAACCGATCACTGGCGCTACCATGTATGCATTTCGATCAAGAGGCGGCACATATACGTTCGTCATGTTTTGGTAAAGCACAATGGGTAAGAGCACAATTCGAACCAGGTAATAATAGTTGTCCGCCAATTTAACAGCCATGTGAAACTCCCTTGGAAACAAAACACCAAATGCGATTGACCCCAGCATCCCATCAAAGCCAAGGAGCTGTCCGGCGGCTGACACAATGATCACCATCACCAGCACCACACATACCTGCATGCAAGTTTGTCACAGCCAAGGGTTTTTTTTAAGTAATTAAGCCGTTAAGACAAACTCCTATCTATTTTTTTCAAATAGTTTAAGAGTTAGTTTTTTTAAAAGTATCAGTGACAATGAAAACCACAACATGAGGACTAGAGTGTGAGGGTGCTACAACCACTCCCCTGTAGTCTCCATCATATTAAGTGTTAACGGTTTTTGTTTTTGAGCGTTGTGTATTATTATTTAGTGAAATGAGTCATTAAAAACTCGAGTAATTTACGTGCAAACACAAAAAAATAGGAAGATATGAAATGGGCTAATCATAAAAGGTAGGACAACTATTATTATTATTATTATTATTTTCTTCAAAATTACCCTGCGGTCCATAGATGACATCTTCGGATCGCTTTTATTTTAGTTTTTATATTTTTTGAGTTTTTTCGTTAGTAAGGCTTGTGCCCAGTCCAAAAGGCAGTCCGAGGTTGGCATCGTCAGACCGCCTTATTACTTAAAAAACAAATGAGCTAATGTGGTGCGAAGATGCCAATCTAGGACCTCCCTAAACAGCAACAGTGAAGGTAATTCGAGAATGCAGACCACCTCTGAATGCTTAACAAAGTCAGTCTCTGCGATCAGAGGATGCCAACCTCTGACTGCTTTGAAGAGCACCACATAAGGTGGTCTGAAGATGCTAACATCAAACTGACAGGGCATAGCTCCAAACATTAGGGCACAACCCTACTATAAAAAAGCTAAAATATAAATTTCACTTAAGATGATATCCTCAAGCTCATGGTCAATTTTGAAAAAAAATTAAAAACATATTTTTAACCCAAAATTAACTCATTTTGTATTTTATTTTTGTGCGTTTATGTGATTCACTCAAAAAACTTATGGATTTTGCCTTTACATCAATCGACATAACCAGATTTTGAAAAATCGGCCATAAAAATCAATTAGTTGCTTCTCTATGTCTTTCAAACGCTGTGGAAACTTTAAAATATATCTCCATACTATTTTAAGTGAGACTTGGTCCAATCAAACCAAAACAACTCATCCGGAGAATAATATTGAATCTCAACTTATTCTAACATCGGCTATAATATAGATACTGTCAGGGCCCCGGCACATGCATTTTGGAGTATGAATTTTAAATATTTGAATATTACTAAAATTTACTGTGTGGTTTGCTCAATGTCTAGAATATTAAAAGTTTATAGAAATTAAATCGTGGAAAATTAAGATTTCATTTTTACATCAAAAGCTATTTTTAAAAAATTTTTCAAGGTGAATGGATTCCACTTGTCGCCCTCTAAACTTAGGGCATGTTTGGTAGGAATGAAAATATTTACATGAAAATATTTTCATGTGAAAATTGCATTCCGCATGTTTGGTACACGACAAATACGAAAAACTATATCAAATTTTAGAGAGAGAAAGTGCCTGAAAATTTTAAAAGAGAGAAATTATTTCAAAATATTTAGAGAGAGAAACTATCTCAAGTTTTAAGATTTAGAGAGAGAAAGTATATTAAATTTTAGAGAAAAACTATATGAAATTTTAGAAGAAGAAAGTACTTAAATGTATTTATAAAATTTTAAGTTTTAGAGAGAGAGACATATTAAAATTTTAGAGAGAGAAACTATATCAAATTTTAGAGAGATAATGTATTTAAAAATTGTTAGAGAGAGAAACTATATCAAATTTTAGAGAGATAATGTACTTAAAAATTGTTAGAGAGAGAAACTACCAAATTTAAAGTTTTAAAGAGAGAGCATCTTAACTACATCAAATTTAGAGAAAGTACTTAAAAATTTTAGAGATAGAAGACTATCTCAAAATTTATAGAGAGAGAAACTATCTCAAATCATAAGTTTTAAAAATAAAAACTATCTTAATATTTTTAGAGAGAAAAACTATATTAAACAATAGATAAATTACCTGAAAATTTTTAAATAGAAAAATTATATCTATTTATGAGGTTTAGAAAGAGAAAATATATTAAAATTTTAAAAAATAAAAACTATATCGAATTTTAAATTGTGAAATTACCAGAAAAATTTTAGAGAGAAAACTTTTAAGTTTACAGAATGAATTTGATAGGGTAACCATATCGATTTGATATTGTTACTCTCAAATTTTAAGTTTTACAGAGAGAGAAAGAGAGGAAGTATCTAAAAATTTTAAATCTTGCCTGCATGTCAGTGGTGTGCATCCCACTTCGCCGTCTCATCCACCTGAACACAGGCACTACGACAAAGAAAATGAGTGCAACAAAGGCAAAGGCCCGTATGGGCCACAGTGCCAGATCCAACATCTTGTTCTCCACCAGGTTTGCAGAGAACACCAGCGCCATCCCCAAAAGGCAGACGAACTCATTGAAAAGGGCAGATGCAATCACCATCTGCCCAAAATCAGAGGCACCAAGCTTGTGCTCAGTCACAAGCCTAGCGAGCACAGCCGACTCGGTATTGGTCATAAGGAAGGTCATTAGAATGCGGAATTCCACTTTGTTTCCTTTAGGGTACACAGTGGGCCGCAAGAAATCAGCTGCGACTACACCCAGTAAGGCAGCTGAGGCCATTGCAGCCATGGCTATCACGACAGGCTGCTTCTTGCCCTTCCATATAAGGGAGGGGTCCAATTCGAGGCCGTCCTTGAAGCTATGGAACTGTCGACCGGTGACCGCGACAACATGAATCAATTCAATGTTTGATGCAGGAAAGAAGGTGTTTCGGAACCAGTCGAACCTGCCGAGGATTTGCCCGAAGATCCACGCAGCCTAAACGAAAAAAAAAACAACAAAAGCCCCAGTTAGTCTCTCTATTCTTTAGCCTAGTCAAAACCAATCTCACGATGGCCTCTCTCTTCTAGGGGCCAAAACAATGTCAAGGGCATAGCTTTTGGAGGTTTGGAGGCAGTTACCCAATGTCAAGGGCATAGCTTTTGGAGGTTTGGAGGCAGTTACCGAGAGGTCGGCAAAGTATTGTGTCTGGTTCATGGACCGGACGACAGGCCGGAGGAGGTCGGCAGCAGCGGCTAACATGAAGGCCTCCAAGGCAAAGAGGGCTAGGCGTCTGGCAGTCTCATCAAGGCCAAGCGTCCCCAGCAGGATGAAGAGGGGGGAGGAGGCCATAGCAGCCGACCCGGTTGTGGCCTGCCCCTCGAGATGGTGCAGGGGCCTGCGGCGCAGAACCGGCCTTGGTCCTTGTCGCTCGAAAGGGGTGAGGCTTAGCAGGTCTGGCCCAAGCCCATCACGCGTTTCCTAAGAGGAACCCATACTCCAAAGGAGTTTAAAAATAGTAGGAGATGGCTATGCTCTCTAAGAAGCCATGAATCCCTAAATATATGGTTTTTGTTGCTTTATCCCATAATGACTATATATAGATCACATGTCGTTGCTAACAGTTATGATCATGTTTTACTAAATTAGGCTATAAGCCTTGCACCTTAAGGCAGGATGATTGTATGCAGTTGTACCCAAATTCACTGTTTAATTGTTTTCAACTATAATAAAAAAAAAATTCGGTGTGAGAAATGATCATAACGATCAGGTAGAACCGATCCCATCAAAATTAGTTTTAAAGGTGGCAACGGGCCCGACCCAACCCTTCTCCCCATAGGAGGCCGGGTCGAAACAAATGAAGAAAAAAATAAAAGAAAAAATAAGAAAAGAAAAAAAGCCGGGCCAACCGAGCCAGTACGGACCCTAGCCCAACCCTAGGGCCACAGCCTCGATGAAAGGATAAGACGCGCAGACACGTCGGTCGTTCTCATATGATCTACACGAGAGAGCCCAAAACTCATATGTTGCATCATCTGCACCAGTAAAAGACTTTCCTCGCCAGAGGATCAAGCCAGCTTTCAAAAGAAAACCATGCGCTCGGCAACGGCCAATGCTTTATCGCACCCAAATAACTTCAATGAGAACTCCAATGGCAGTCCCAGGACCTATACTCCTCATTAGATTTCCATCCACTACCACTCGATTCTCAACTGCACTTTGATCAGTGAGCTTCTCGCACAAGGCTGGATATGTGGTCGCTTTCTTCCCGGTTGAAGATTGTTAAGCGTTACCACAATTCTTTAATTGAATTTCAAATTTTGTATTGCTTTCTATTTTAATTGAGATTTTATTGTTGTACACTTCCTAATTTATTAGGAACATTTTCTGTTTCTGTTATAAATCCCTAAAATTAAGAAATTGCGACCTCTTGTATTCTCTACTTATACCCCACATTTGGGTAATACAATTATTGGAAAATTTGTATTCTCTTCTTCTGCGTGGACAAAGCCACATCCATTTACTTCACACTCATAAGTTGCTTTCCGCATCAAAACAAAAGCATTCTCGACTTCGCTCAACCAAATCTTCGCTTTGATATTGTACGCCCTACAAATTAGATAAAGACTTCAGGCTGCTGCACTTTCTCTTTCTTCAAAGTTTCGTGAACAATGAGTGACAGCAATAGCAATACCACCGTGGGTTCTTCAAATGCAGCTCAATCCCCTTGTAATTTACATCATTCCAAGAGTTTGGGGAAGCTAGCCTTTATTGATGGAATTCTATCCAAACCAGAGCCTTCTTCTCCATCTTTCTCCTTATGGGAGAGATGTAATAATGTGATTTTGTCTTGGTTCTTAATGCCTTGTCCAAAGATCTCGTAGTGAGTGTTATGTTTGCCTCTACAATGCATTAAGTGTGGACTTACTTGTGAGATCGCTTTTCACCTAGCAACGTCCCACAACTTTACCAAATCAAGAAATTTTTGGCCACCTTCCAACAAAAGCAACTCTCGGTTGCCCCTTACTTCACACAATTAAAAAAAAAATTTGGGATGAATTAGTCTCTCTTACTTCTTTCACCCCATGTTCTTGTGGGGAATTTAGAAATCTCAACAGTTATATCCAATAAGAACAACTTCTTCAATTTTTGATGGGTCTCAATGAGTCCTACAGCTTGGTGCGTAGTAACATTGTACTCATGGATCCACTATCAACTGTTGTCAAAGGCTACCCTCTTGTTCTTCAAGAAGAACGATACCGTGAGATCCATTTACATATCCAGGCACCAGAAGCCACAACCTTTGCCATGATTCCGTCTCATGCATCTGCAAAACCCACTACAAACCATAATATTGTCCAAAAGAACTTTAATATTGATACACGCCCCTTGCTACATTGTGATTATTGTCACAAAATGGCAAAACAAGCCACGTGCCTTTAATGTTGAAATAGCAAGTCCCTACATCAACCAATTTACATACACAGCAGCCCCTCAATTTACAACTGACCAACAACGTCAAAGTTTGCAACTGCTACAGGTAGGTAGTTCAAATCACTTGGCCACTTTTGCAGGTAATCTATATTGCTCTACATTTTTTTCATTCAATGATACATGGTTCATATAGACAGTGGTGCCACTGACCACATTGTTTGTTCTCCATCTTTTCTTTCATTTATAGAGCCTTCATCACCCACTAATCCTGTGAAACTTCCAAATGATAATTTTGCATATGTTCTTCATATTGGCATTGGCATTCTTTCATAACAAATAACTGTGCATAATGTTTTATATGTACCATCTTTCTCCTACAATTTACTTTATGTTCAAAAGCTTACGTCTGATATGCAATGCTCAATAACCTTTTTCTTCGATCATTGTATTTTTCAGGACCGGTTATCAAAGAGGACGATTGGAATGGGTAGAGAGCACAATGGCCTTTATATATTTCATCCACCCAAAGTTGTCTTTGCATCCTCAATTCACAATTCACACCCCATGGATCTATGACATTAGCACATAGGTCACCATTCTCATGCTCGTTTACAATCTCTTATTAAAAAAACACTCAGACATTTTTTTTTCTAATAATTGTCATTGTCATGTATGTCTTAGGGAAAAACAGTAGCGGCTCTCGTTTCCTTCGACTTTTACTACTACTCCTTTTCAACTAATTTCATTGCTCAATTCAGTCCATTCGAACGGACAAAAAAACTGAGTTTTTCTCCAAAGTTATGCAGAATATTTTTTTAAAAAATGGTTTGTTTCATCAACACTCTTGTACTGCAACACCCCAACAAAATGGCATTACAGAATGTAAACATTGTCACCTCCTTGAGGTTGCACATGCCTTATGTTTTCAAGCTAATTTACCTTTTTCTATCTAGGGAGATTGCATTCTTACAGCAACATATCTTATCAATCGCTTATCTACCCCTATTTTAAATGGCAAAAGCTTACATGATGCTCGTTTCAATTCCCCTTTATTATAAAAACAATTAAGGGTATTTGGCTACCTTTGCTATACCTATAATATACATCACCAACACAAATTTGACACTAGGTCATGCCAATATATATTCATTGGTTACTGTCATAGTAAAAAAGCATATCGTTTATATTACCTTGACAACCACAATTTTTACCAGTAAAGATGTCATTTTTCATAAGCATTGCTTCTCATTTTATGATTCTTCATCATCCCCAAACCCATTCAGCTTTGTTCTCCCACATCTATTACCTGACATTCCTACTAACATAACATTACCACACCTAGATGATTCATCCCACAGTGTTGAGCAGTCACCTTCATCACCATCCTCTTTCATGCTTCCTTCACTGTCTTCATCACCACCTACACCTCCAAATGCCCCCAACGTTCCGACCAGCCTCGCCAATCTCCAAAATATTTACAAGATTATCATTGCTCCATCGTTGTGCATTCTCAACTTGCTACAACTTCTCTTCAACCGATTCAAGATGTTCACTATCCTTTAAGTTCTTTCATCTCCTATAATAGACTTTCAACCTCTTGCAAAACTTTTGTTGCCACTATTTCTACTACAACTGAACCTACTTCTTTCAAACAAGCATCCACTGATCATAATTGGAGAGAATCCTATGAGCAAAGAGATAACTACATTGGAAGCCAATAACACATGGTCCTTGGTTGAACTACCCCTGGGCAAAAGACCCATTGGTTGCAAATGGGTCTACAAGATAAAATACAAAGCCGATGGGTGGGTCTATCAAGTGTTACAAGGCTCGATTGGTCTCCAAAAGATATAGCCAGCGAGATGAGTTCGATTATCATGAAACCTTTGCTCCCGCAGCAAAGCTTACAACTGTTCGTTATCTTTTTGCAATTGCTACTGTTAAAAATTGGTCTTTGCACCAATTGGATGTTCAAAATATTTTTTTGCATGGTGATTTACATGAAGAGGTATTCATGAAGATACCACTAGGTTTTTCATGCAAGGGAGAGTACCAAGTTTGACGTTGAATAAGTCCCTTTATGTACTTAAACAGAATTCTAAACAATGGTTTACCAAATTTTTAGATGCCTTACTAGATGCATGATAGATTCAATCAAAGGTGAATTATTTTTTATTCATCAAAATTATAAGCAATTCATGCATATATGTCCTGGTTTATGTAGATGATATAGTGATCACCAACAATAATATTAATGTTATTTAGACTATCAAGACCTTTTTTAGTGATCAATTTCATATCAGGGATTTAGATCCTTTGAAGTGCTTCATTGGCATTGAGGTTTGTCGTTCTAAAAATGGGATTCTTCTTACACAAAGGAAATACACTCTTGAGATTCTGTAAGACATAGGCCTTTTGGCTGCAAAATCTATTACTTTCTTCATGGAATAAAATTTAAACTTGAATACCAAAGGTGGACCTCTTTTAAATGATTCCATGCCTGTTGATTGGTAGACTTATATATCTTATAAATACAAGGCTAAACATTGTCTAACCAGTCCACATCCTCAATCAATTCATAAACCAACCTCTAAAACCACACTTAGATGTTGTTACTCGAATTCTTCGTTACTTTAAAGGGACACCTGGCTAAAACATTATGCTCTCTGCTAATAGTAGTCTACAACTCTCTGCCTATTGTGACTCTAATTGGGCTAATTGCTCAATGACCAAACGTTCGACTACTGGTTACTGCACTATGTTAGGAGACAGCCCCATATCTTGGAAAACTAAGAAACAACAGACAATTTCAATATCATCTGCAGAAGCGGAGTATCGTTCTATGGTAGTTACATCTTATGAACTTACTTGGCTAAAATACCTCATGTCTGATCTTGGCATTTCTCATAATGACCCCA